CGTCTTCCTGACTTTGGACATGTTTCAGGAGAGAGCAGTCCCTGGAGAAGGTCATCATGGTTGGGAGAGCAGAAGGGCAGTGACAGAGGCGGGCCCTCGTGGAGACGGACTGACAGAGTGGCTGCAACAATGGGTGCAAGCATGGGCACCATCGTGAGGATGGTGCAGGGCTGGGCCGTGCTCTGCTACGCAGAGGGTTGCTATGGGCCGGCACCTAACAGCAACATGTCAAACTGAGTGATGCTGATCACAGTTCTTGAGTTGTGCAACCATCTTCATCTTCCTTGTCTGAACTGTTGCCCCCTCATTAGCATAAACCCACTGCCTCCCCAGGCCCCCTTTTAATCTTGCGAGTTGCTATGGTCACTTTGATCCCATATCCATAGTTTTTAAAGACCATTCTGCTCAAGGAAGATTTTTTTTACTACTTAAGCTACTGTTAGGTGTTTAGGAGCTGTGGTAGGGTTGTCATCTAAGTGTGGATCTGCTACCTGCAAGGTCAGTGGCTCAAACCCACCAGCTGTATCACGGGAGAAAGATGAGGCCTTCAGCTCTTGTAAAGGTTTACAGCCCCAGATGCTGGATAAAGGCACAGGGTGTAGGATTTTCATAGGTGAGGCTATGGGCTCTATCTAGGTCTGCACTCCCGTTATTGTTGTTGCTGTTGTGGTTGTGAGGTGCCACTGAGTCATTTCCGACCCACGGTGACCCTACGTACAACAAGCAGAACACTGCCCCGTCATGCACCAGCCCTACAACTTTCTTGTGCTTGAGCCCATTGTTGCAGCCACTGTATTAATCCATGTGGCCAAGGTCCTCCTCGTTTTCGCTACCCCTCTACTTTACCAAGCATGATGCCCTTCTGCAGGGACTGTTTCTCAAAAAAAAAAGACTAAAGCTTAGAAATCCTTTTTAATTAATGTGACTGCATGCCTAGCATTTGTGCGAAGTGAACATCTTCAATAAGACCGTTTATCTCCTTGGAGAGCCCTGCCCGCACCTACCTGGGAATACACAAATAGCCAATACCAAACTCACACCCCAAAATACCAGGCTACTGCACACACGAATCTTTATGCATTGGTGAAGGTTAAAGAATGAAGAACAAAAAAGGTAAAGACCTCCCTAGGATAGGCAAAGCTAGTTGAATTTATTTATTATAGGAGGCAACGGGCCCACAACTACTTCCAAGGTTAGGAGCACATACAACTTGAAGGATAATGGAACTGCTCACAGAAATGAGCAGTTTGAGTGAGGGGAGGAAAGCCCCTCCCCTTCCCATGTTTCTCTCTGGGGTCACAGGAGGATTGTGGTAGTTACATAGTCTGGTTATAAACTTGACATAATTAAGAGTGGCAGGGTAGAGTTTAGCCTGTCAATCAGCTCACAGCTTGATGGCCTCATTTGGAGGTTCTATGAAGATAATCGCTCACGAGGCCGAATACTCTCTCTCTGCGAGACATTCCTGTTCACAAGCCACATGGAGCTATGCTGATGGCAGCCAGAGCCGTGGAGCTGGAGGAGCTACTTGGAGATCCACGCCAGCGCTGAGATGCTTCCACTGCCACTAGATCCACAAGACTCTCCACCCTCTGGCCTGTGATCTTCCTGCACTCAGCATCATTGCATATGTCGCGTGAGTCTGAAGAGGAATTTACAGACTGGCATTGGACATATGGGTTAATATCAGACTTCTGGACTGGGCTGGGATGTTTTCTTAATACACAATTACACTTTTATATAAAGCTCTCTCTTGTACACATGAGTGTCTATGAATTTGTTTCTCTAGTCCACCTAGACTAACACAAGGATATAAGCTCTCGATAGTCTTGAGTGAAAATTGAAAGTTGGCCATACAGTGGTGGTAGTTCTGGTAAATGTTTACAAAGGGGGCTGTAAGTCCTCCTCCCAGCTTTGTATATACGTTCCTGTACAATTGACATTCCTATAGAAGGTGGAATCATTTCTCCCCTTCCCGAATCAGGCTGGCCTTGTGATTTGCTCTGACCAATGGAATGAAGCCGAGGCAGAGGCAGTCACTGTTCCCTGACTTCTGAGATCGGGCCTTAAGAACTTTTGCCACTTCCTCTTTTGCTCTCCTAGACTACTGCCTTGAGACCCGAAAGGTCCTGAAGGCCAGGATGGAATACCACATGGACATAGGCCCTCTGTTGCAGCAGCTGAGCCCAGCGCCAGCCGAGCCACCAGCTGACATGAATATGCCCAGGCAAGATTAGTGGAAGAATCACTTAGTCAACTTGCAAAGCTGTGAGACATAATACATATTTGTTGTTTTAAGAAACTGGGTGTTGGGAATGTTGTTGGGCAGGATAGGTAACTCACAGAATTCTCAACCTGTATTAAAATTACTAGGGGAGCTTTTGGAAGATGGAGATAACCAGGCTTCATCCTCTTGAGATTAGTTTTAGGCAGGGGTCAAGGCATATGTGTTTATTATTATTATTTAAAACTCCTCCAAGCAATTCTAATATGTACCCAGCAGTATTAATCACAGGGCAGCTGACAGTTCATGATAAAAGATGGAAGGAGAAAGGATGAAGTTCTGCTGGAGTTCTGGAAGCAACCAGCAAGAAGAATGGGTTCTCATCTTTGCAAAGTCTCCCTGTATCTCTGAGATGTGCAATTCCTGCTCCCAACATTATACTTGAGGAGACAAGCAGAAAATACTTAAGACCTTTTAAAGCTTATTAGTCACCGTTGGGTTTCAGAACAGAGGGCGCCTCAGGCTCTAAAACCCCACAGTTAGGTTATTGTGCCTGGAAACCTTTAGCCTGAGTTACCATTTTCCAGAACTGTCTTTCATTTTAATCTGTTCATCGTATTGTGCCTGAAATAGTCTTAGGCAGGGGTCAAGGCATCTGTGTTTATTGCCTGTTGACTTAAACCAATGAACTGCATTGGCTCAAACCGAGAGCAAGTGACCAAGTTCACAGAGGTGAAAGAGCAGTTTTCTGATGGAATTAGTGACAAGCACGGAGGTTTGTTTCAGGCTCTTGAGAGGTCACTGCCCTTAAGCTTGCCTGTTCATTTCCACACCGTTGTCTCCTTTGACATAATGTAATACGGAGGCCAGAACCTCGGGTCTTAAAATCTTTTTCATGTTCCGTATCTAGTGCTCATACCTTTTGGGGCCAAAACACAAATGTCCTAATTCTACCAAAATAAATCTCCTTGATGTTCTCTGGATGCCAAGCCTTGCACCTGGACCTTGCCATGCCCAAACCTGTAGTGAACATTCCAGGGCACGTCTGCCCCTTTTAACACCCAATGATCCTCTCCACTTGGCCTCTCTTTACTGCTCCAGCTTCATCTTCTCATCTCCTTGAAGGCCCACGCTCGCTTCACTTCAGGACTCCATCGCTGCAGTCTCTGTCGGAAATACTCCCAGCCCC